TTTTTTTTGTTATTGTGACTATGCGAACCGGTGTCGCCTGACCATATAGATACAGTCATTCTGACGCACAAAGAGGTTGGTAACTTAAATGACGTCGCAGTATCAACAATAAGATCTTGGTTGTACCTCTCTCTCTCTCTCTCTTTCTCTCTCTCTCTCTCTCTCTTTGATACACATGGGAAGCTCAACCTGTAGATCCCTCAACCTGTACATCCCTCTATGTYTGCCTCAATTTSAACGACGGTCGGGTTCACTATTGCGTGACATATCAGTGTCTACCAATGCTGTTTATTGTCGTTCTGGCCCGCACTAGTGAACCTTTCCCTCTCTCTCTCTCTCTCTCTCTCTCTCTCTCTCTCTCTCTCTCTCTCTCTCCTTACACTTCAGGGGTGTGTAGATCGACGCACGCCATTGCTGACGCAGTTGTTGTTCGTATTCCACTTTGATGTATGTGGGGAAAAAAAGGGTCATGGTTCCAAGGCCAAAATACGAGGATCTGTGCAGGTCTTTGAAGACCGTGGGAAAAAAGGACAAGGGGAGGAAGAAATGCAAGGCTGATAAGAAAAAGGAAATGAGAGAGCATCGCAGAAACGGATCGCAGAATGCAAGAACGGAGTGGACCAGCAGYCGCAGAAACGGATCARAAGTTTCTCTCCCATCAAGTGAGAGGGAGATTTCAAAGCTGAAAGAACGCAATGACTCACCCCCTGCGACTCCTGCCCCACGGAACCGTGCGAGCGGCGTCGAGAACCGTCCACCCAAGGCCCTCGAGAAGAGGCCGCGAAAAAACGGAATGTCAAAGGTGCAMCGCAGGACAAAGAAGAGAATCAAGTACAAAAAGGACAGAATGGTGGAGATGATCGATCAGAGAGGCTCAGACAATATGCAGAGCGCGGCCCGAGAGGAAGCAGAAGAGGAACACGACCAGTCCATATCAGAAAAGTCTGACGGGGAGGRGAACGAGGCAACAAGTGACGAGGGAGGTGACAGTGAAACTTCCGACGGACATTCTCGCGACACTCACGACGCTGATGACGAGGACGGCAGGAGCAGCGAYGGCACARCGCAGGACGAGGGCGGTGACAGGGCAGRCGAAGACGACAGAAGCGTGGACGGAAGAGAGAGTTCCCCGTCTCCGGGAAGAAYGCGACGCACGAGGGAACCCGAAAGTGGTGGCGAGGGAGGCGCAGCCAACGCGCCCTCGATTAACAGACAAATAGTGAGGCACGACAACGCAGTTCAAAAAGATAAACAAAATATGCTGCAGTTACTCCTCTTGCACAACGATTACGTGGTAACGACGCAAAGTGATGGCATTTCCTTAATGCGAGGATGTCGCTGTGATAAACGAACAGTTCAAACGGACTGTCGAATTTCGTAGGTGCGAAAATGAGTGCGAAATGCCGAGTTCTTAATATTATTATGTGCGTTGTAATGCGTGTCTTTCACTAATGGCACGAACTCGTAAAGAAACGTGTGCGTGAGCAGGGGAGGACAGCAACAAGCCAAGCAAGAAAGCGGCGTATTCTCGAAGAAAATGAAGGTCAGACTGTTCTGGTCGGTCGCAAAAGCCTTTGCGTTCTCAGCAGCAAAGGACGCAACTCTGTACCCAACAGAGGATGAATTTTTCACGGCGTTGCAAACAACAACTAAACTGATAGGGGAGARCGCGGAGGAAGGACTGGGATCACACGTAGCGGAGTGCGGGATTCGAGCAGTCATAGGGGAGTGCAACAGAATGATGACAACCGTGCGTGGAGAGATAACATGGCAACTGAAACATTGGTTCTAGGCTGAAAAAGGAATCCCGCTTGTACGATCGCAGCAAACAGATCACCAACTCCCTACTCGCAACAAGATGCGAGCAGAGATGAAGGAGAACAAAACGTGGAGACGGAGCGGCGACGATCCTTGGGGCACCCCAGCCTTCAAGACAACACTCACCAAGGTTTTCCAGATGAGGAGGGACGACGTAAACCTTTGTGTCACCCTGCAGCAACTGACTTTTGCTGAGATGGTTCTGCAATGTGAAATTGAGCAGACAACAAAGATCAGCAAAGCGGCGGAGCAGATARGAAAATTGGTTTCTATAAAGCAGGACATCGCATTATTTGTCCGCAACYGCGATACAGTCATGAGTTTTTCAATCTTCAAGCTGGACCGTGCCGTATCTGTTGTTGAGAAGGCTGCTGCGCTATTTCAAGTTGGCGTGCCCTCTGTCCACAGGAGTGGGCCACGGAACACAACAATAACGGATGACGATTTCGACCTGGAGTTCATTGCACCGCTGCATGAGAGAA